TTTTTCTTATATATTACCCCCCACCCCCATCCTGATTTTTCGCACTTGCTGTCTGGTCACCCTAGATTTAGCTGAATTATAAACTGCTGAAAATCACCATTTCCCTTCTCTCACGTGAGTTCCTGAGGGTATTTTTGGTAGCACACCACAGAGAAAGTAGTGCTTTCACTCACTTAGCTTTTTTTACTTTTTTCACACCTTCCCAATTGAAAAAGACTTTTTCCCCTGCTTTCTTACTTTTTTCTAACTTTTTACAGTGGAAGAAAAGATGAAAAAATAGAAAGGGGGAGGAAGTAGCAAACCTGTAAATCCAAACACTAGAAAGGAAAATTGAATGTTTCATTTTCCAGAAGTTGAAATGATTCAACATTTTAGTTAGAGTCCAAGCAAAAATTCTCATTCTATTTCCACATGCCAGTATCTCAGATCTGTTTAAAAATTGAAATACTGCATTCAAAATACTTCACAGGAAAAATTTTTGGGTTGTTGACATGCTCTAATATTTACCTTTTATTAAAAAAAATTAAGCAGTATTATTTAGTTTATTTAGTCAAAGCCTTTTAAAAGCACAAGAATTAGAAAATACCATTGTTAAGGTTACCTGTGTAATGTTAATTCAGCCCCCCACCCTCCCTTGTGCATATACATTATGATACAGTCTAATTGCATGCACATGTCCTATTATTCTCACCTACCCCTAGTTCCCGCCTCTTCGAGTGCACTGGGACTATGGTGCTCAGGGGATGGAGGAGCTGTTGAATATTTTTTTTATCCTCATCATTCAACATGTGATCCAGGGCCTTATTCACTCTACATACCGTACAAACACTGCACTGAATACAGAATTATTAATTTTTTCATGGGCTTTTCTAGGGTGCTCGTCACCGTAATATCAGAGTGCACCATAAACATTAACAAATTTGTCTTCATAACCCCCAGGAGATAGCAGACTCTTATGACGCCCATTTCAAAAGTGACTTAGGCACTTAGAAACCCAAGAATAACATTTTCAAAAGTGCCTAAGTGATTTAGAGATTTCAATCCCATTTTCTCCAGTAACGTAGGAGCCCAAGAACCCTGGAGACTTCACCTTCTTGTAGCCTAAGTCACTTCTGAAAATGGCCCTTAGGCTCCTACATCATTTAGGATTGGGCATCGTGATTGGGCACCAACCTGAGACCCTCAGGGCCTGACTCTTCAGAGTACTCACCATTTCTGCAGAGCTTTGTGTGTTCAAAGTATTCTCCAGACATTAATAAACCCTCACCAAACTCCAGGGAAGCAGGTGGGTAAGTATTATTATTAGCTCCAATTTATAAATGGTGAAACTGTGATAGAAAAGAGAAGTGACTTGCCCAAGGCCACCCAATCAGTCAGCAGCGGAGCCAGGATAAAACTCAGTGTTTTGACTTGCAGCCCTGTGCTCGTTCCCCCCAACCACACTGCCTGACTGCAGAACATCTGAGCAGTCACATCTTGTCTTGACCCTAGCGGCAGTTGTGAGTGCTCAGTGCTTCTGCTAATCAGACCCCATAAAAACTGGCTTAAGAGACCTGCTCAGCATCACCTGTGAAGTCTGCAGCAGAGGCAGGAACAGCACTGAGCTCTACTGAATGACTGCTCTTAACAAGATCATCCTAGTTCTTCCTGTGCTCCCCTGCTCATTCTTTACAGGCCTTCCAGTTTCTACAGCGAATGAGGTAGGAGTCATACAGGCAACAGCCTGATGCTGCACAACCCAGATCTATCCATCCTGGGCACTGAAAGTGGCCAGGGCCCTGCGGGAAAAATAATTCACTAGAAAACTTAATTTTAGTGCCCAGACAATCTGGTTCCCATGTGGCTAAATGGAGCCTGTCTTCTGGGTCTATAGATCCGCAGAGTTTTAAGACCCAAAGAAGTCATTGTGATCATCTGCTTCTCCCCTCACCAAAGGGATTCCTCCTGCTAAATGAAGTTGCAACTCCCCTCTCTGCCCCATCTTCTATGTACAGAGTCTCCATAGGGGTACTTGACTGGCTGGAACTGGGGTCCTTACAGAAAAACCTACTACAGAAGCCCTGGATTTCAACCTT